CCCTCATATTGCATTCATGAGATTTCTTGGCGGTCTTACGTGGTTGTCTTGGCAACGTCTTTCATGCTGAGCAGTGGGTCTGCGCTGTCCGGGCAGCGGAGGATGCACGGTGCAAACACTATGGCCAGCGAGTTCGGAGACATGCGGTTGTGAGCCTCTTCTTTGCACACCCTGCAGGAGAAGCACACACGGCTGTAAATGATGACCTCGCCGTTTAACTGAATGAGCCATCTCAGCGCAGTAGAAGAGATCAGAATCAAACAAACGAGGGTCCCTGCCTGACGAGGTGGAAGACCAGCCTCTCCAAGGTGTTGTAATTTGCAGTCGGGAGCTCGTCCAGCCCTTTATAGATGGCATGAAGCTGCTCCTGCTTCTCTGGAAGGTCTGACAAGAGCAACAAAAATCAAATCTTGAAACACAGACAAAAATGCAAAGACACGAGCGCACTAGTGAGAAACGTCCTCCTCACCGACTGCATGCAGGAAGTCGTTGTAATGTGTGAAGGTCATGAGTGGGTCTGGCAGTTCCCTCAGCCACTGCTTCACCAAGCCGGTCACTGTGTGGATGGGATAGTCCTCGAGGCAGGCCGAGTTGGGGTCTGAACACAAAGTCGTCATCAGCTCGGTGATGTCGTTTCAGGAGTCAGAAAAAGCAGAAACATGTTGATGTCTGACCTGTGTCCAGTTTCTGGTGAAGCTCTTTCATTCGGTTGGCAGAGCCCGATTTGCGGTAGATGCCCTCCGTGTAGAGGCCGTGCATCTCCACGTGCTCCAGCATCATTTCCAGCACCATCGGTACCGGATTCTTCTCATTGAGCAGGTGACACACACGCACGCCGAAGTGCTGCCCGGTGAACTCGTCATCATTCTGTGGAGTCACCAGACGGCAGCGGTCAGTCGGACCTCGCCATGATCCACCCACAACATCCGACTCACATTCGTCACTACAAACGAGTCACTGTGCTGTTATATATAAAAACATGTTCCCAAATATTGGAAGCGTGTTTCCCAGCTGCTTCCTCCCAAAGGGCCGCTTACATTAATTTTATTTAACGTTTTCAAACACTGCGTGTCTGTGATCAAAGATAAATGTGCAGCCGACGCCGACAGTGCAAATAAGCTTTTTAAAAAGACCAGCAGAAAAAAAATTACTTAAATTAAATTTTTTATTCAAAGCTAGTGGAACAGGGGCTGGATTAGAAAACTTTTTATGCACAGTGTTTATAACTAATCACTAACCCAGCAGACTGTATATAAAAGATGGATACCACTGCAAATC